CCAGGCATCTCAGGGAGCCTGGCAGATAGGATCTACAGTGGAATGAAAGTTGGATATCAAGGAGACAGTACCAGCTGGGAGAGGGTTCTTTACACAGCCTACTCTTCCTCTAAGCTCCTCTCCAGCCTGGGCAGACACAGAACCAGATGAGGAAACAAACAGTATTTCAAATCCCTCTGCTTAGGGATGGGTTTTCCCCACCCTTTTTTTTGTGGGCTCTAATACAACTGCTAGGGAAGCTTTTTATGAGCTCCAGTAACAGTGGCTGATTAATCCAGCCTTTCAATGGCAGCACCCTTGAACCAGACTGTGCTGGTATTATTCAGGACCATAAGGAATGCTGGCGCCCACTCTCCTTTACCCAGGGCCAAGAACTGGTGACCCAGCTAAAGAATGTGCTTTGCTTGGGGTTAACATTCCAGGATCAGCTTGGGAGGCCAAGGGCTTGGGTTGGCAGAAGGAGACAGGCACAAGACAGAAAGGTGACATAGGACAGACTTTTCCCCATCTTCCTCCTGGGCACATATCCCCTCTCTGCCTTACCAGGTTACTTTCTAGCCTCTGAATGGAGGCAGGACCAGTAGGAAGAAGATATTTCCTGCTTCCTTAGGGGGTATGTTTACATGGAGTAAAGCCACCAAGCCCTGAGCCACAGTGCCCCTTGCCTTAAGCCCTACCTGCTAGGGAGCCTGGAACTCTCTACTTCCAAGTTCAGGATCTCCTTAGACCAATTAGAGCTAGGAAAACGGAGCCATCTGGCCCAGGTCCTTGGGGCCAGTGGGCAGCAGAGCTCATCTCTGACTCCCACCCAGGCTCACTGTGCCCCCTGCCTCTTTCACACCACTACCCTTGTACCTACTATCTAACCCAAGGCTCAGTAAAGGCTGCAGGTGTGAGAATGTTGGCTACTGGAAAAATGGGGAATATTTTTATTGGTTTAGACCTTCTCTCAGTCCATCAACAATCTCAACTTATATCAATTAACGCCACAAAGAGAGTTGATGGAAAGGGTCCCCTGGAGGAAACCTATAACTGACCCCAGCTTAAGCATAGACCCCAATTTCTTAATCCCACAGAAAGGAAGTTATAGAACCTCAGGAATCAGGAAAAGCACATGGGATGAGGGGCAGAAAAAGAGAAAGATCTTCATGTTCTGCCATTAGCAACAGGGTGAGGAGCCCTTCACAAAGCACTGATTAGAGGTTTTAAGACTTTAAAATTAACCAGACATATGTCTCACTGTCAGGAATTTAGAAACCAGCATGAAGAGTAGTTAAGAAATCCCCCTCCCCTTTGCAGGTTCCTCCTGTGTCCCCCAGCATACAGCTCCAGCCTCAGGCAGTTTCAATAACCACTTCCTAGATCTGAGTTTATCGCCACTGTCCTCTGGCCTGAGTCAGATCAGCTGGAGCTCAGGCGTCTAGTGACCCCTTGCTGTTATAATTCCCTCTTCTCCCCACCCCATACACACACAGTTGGGTCTCTGCCAGAATTTGGGGGGCGGGGGAGAAAGACTTAGGAAAATATTTCAGACACAGAGAGTACCCGGAAAATAGGCAAGCCAGAATCCTCACCCAGCCAGTGTGATGGAAAACAGTGCCATTTCTGGAGCCACTTATGTGACCTTGTAGGGACAGGTACTTCATTTCTCTGTGCCTCAGTTTACTCATCTGCACATTGGAGATAGTCATATGCTAGTCCCTACTGAAGACAGTTCATCAGGACTGGCCAGCTAAGGACATGAAGACTGTCAAGCTCTTTATAGGCCTTGCCAGAATTTTAAAATGTTTGCAGCTAACTAACTCCATCTTGTATTTCTAGAACCCATTTGGGTATCACAAAGCAATGTAATAGGGGCATAGCTCTGATGTTGGGCTGAACAGCTATGCTCCATCCTAGCTGATGACATTATGTCTGAGATGCTTAGAACTAGGGCTGCCTCAGCCAGTGTTAGGTGTCATTATACCTCTTATTACCATTGCTTAGTATGTATTTGTTGAATAAATGATGGATGAATGGCCTAAGCTGACCACCCTGTGTAGTCACAGCTTTGGTTATCCCATGAAACGGGCTATGCATATTTTAGCCAGAGGAGGGCAGCTTTGAGCCAGACATCTCAATTTCTAGACAATCCAGTTTTTACATCCACCTCTGGATTCAGACCTCCCAGTTTTGGAGAGCCAGTTCTAACTGGCAGGTTCCTGTCCACACAGTTCCATCAGCCCCTGAGAGGGTAAGCTCCACATCTTCCAGGCCATGCTGTCCACCTCAGGTTGGGGTTGAGAGGTGACTGAGGACTTCAGCTGAGCTCTGAGGAAAGGCAGTTTGATGGCTGAGGTAATGGTGAGCTGCGTCCTCCCATCCTGTTCCTCTCCCTGAGAAAAGAGACGAGGGACTTGAGTATCTGTGCCAAGACAGACCCAAGGGAGCAGATACTCTAGGGTCCTGGAGACCCCTATGGTCCTCAGATACAGAGAGAGCAGGATGTTCCCATTCCATTCCTAAAAGGAATCCCGATCTCACCTACCTACCTCTCAAAGCCTAACTGACTTCCTCTGAGGCCCTCCCTCCTAAGCCAGAGTAAGGCACAACTTTCCTGCCCCATGTGACACTTTTTACCACTTTGAGGGTCTTCCTACTTTCTACCTTGGATTATATGGCAAATTATATATTTATCTTACTTCTCTTGTAAAGCAGTAAAGTTCCTGAGTCTGGGGAAATAATTACTAGCTATCCCTCCAGATGTGCCTGACACCTGCCTTATCCTGTCTTATGCACAGATACCCCACTTCATGCCATAGCACAACCTTGCTGGCTCTCATCTGTGTTCCTGCCTGTATCCTGAACCAGGCATGTATTGTAGTTTTTTTACTTTGAGCTGCTTTCACAACCTGCCCAGTGCTCAGCACATGCAGATTGTGAAGTGTGGGAAAACAGGGATGGATCCTTATTCCCAATGAGCACCCAGAAGACTAATGTTTCTCAAGAGCCCTTAAGTAGTTAACAGGTGAGTGGATGTGGGGGGTAAAAGGAGGCTCCCTGTCTCAGAACTGGTGGGTGAGACAGACAGGACTGAGTAAGAGTGGCTCAGTTCAGCTCATATATCACAGCACATCCACATATCCAAGCCCATGCCCCAGGAATTCCCCAAGATTTAAGTCACTTGGCCACTTCCCAGTCTCCCTATCCAGAATGAAAGTTGAGTTTCAGCACTTTGCTGCCCTGTTCAACAGTTCTAGTGGCACACTCCATCTGGCTGGTTGCCATGTGTCTTTCAATCTCAGTTTTAAAAGCTTTGTCTTTAGGAGGCACCCCCAAACTAGTCTCCTCCCATTTGGGTTTGAGGCTCCCTCTTGTTCTACATCCCAAAGGCATTCTGTTCTTCTCCATCATAGATATTTTTGTATTGCATTCTTATTTTTCACTAGAATAATCATTCTCTGATGGCAGAAATCATGTCTATCTTATCACCATAATATCCTGAGTCCCAGCACCTGGCAGGCCCCAGGACCTGTAGAATGATCGAGGTTCCTGCAGAAGCCACAGAACAGGCTCATGTCAGTCAGGACTAGAACTCATGTCTCCCAGCACTCAGTCCTGTGACTGTTTGCTACTGATCCTGCTTTTCAGAGTCCTAATCTGTCTGGATGGGCTTCCAAGAATGGACACAGACTAGGAAGGTGGGCAGCAGGTCAGAGGAACTGTCTCCTGAGCCTCTTCTATTTTCACAGATTACTCAGAATGGGAAGGCAGGTTGGTAGAAGATAGAATGCCAAACTAGCTATTCCTCCTGTGAACCTCGCAGATTTGGAGAAGAGAGGCTGGTTCCTGTCTGGTGGATCGTCTTTAGTCACAGAGGGCTCCATGGAGACATGGAGACATCACTAATTTCCACTAGAAATAGTCAAAGGGTAAGTAGGAAAGTGGACAGACACTAGATTAAAAACTTGGCATTTGGGCATGTAGTCCTGAACTACAGCTGGAGACTGCCCGAGATGGGAGGGCCACTTGCTGGCCTCAGTTCTCCTCCCCACAGGCCAGCATTTGAATCGTTTTGTGGCTTTCTTACCGACCATGTGGCCTTTGGTAGAACTATACTCACTTTCCAGAATCAAGTTATCAAGAGTGCCTGGGGAAGTACTTCTTTTTCCCTAAAGGGAGGAGGAAAGCCTGGGAGTGGGGCCCTCCTTTCATTCTACAAGAGGATTCTGAATCTAATTTTCCCGGCCCAAAGAGAGTCAGATCTCATGGCCAATCATCAGTTCTCCTGGCTAAAATCACTAAGAAGAAACCTTGGGATGAGGAAACTACTTACAGATTTAGGGACACAAGGCAGGCTCTAGGAGTATGATGTGCTTTTTTCATGAATGAATAGAAGTTCATGAAGGCCACCCCACCTTGAGGGATCCACTCAACCCTACAAGCCCTCTTTGAAGGAGAGGTAAGGATTTTCCAGGACTGTTGGATTCCAGAATCCAAACAAGGTTGATCTAACTCAAGAGGAGGGAGCTCAGAGACACCAGGCCTTACCTGGAGTCAACCTCCCTCCCATTTCATCTCTTTAGTCACTTTCTCGTTTATGGACTTAAAGACAACTTTAAATTGTCAAACTTTGCAGATTTGGGCTTGGGAGAAGCACTTTACTGAGTGTTGGAGAAACACTTCAGTGACCTCTAGTGCCCTCCGACTGCCCTTCGCCTGCTAAGTACACAGCACAATAAAACAGGTGTCTCTGACAGGACCTGCGCCATTCAGAGCGAGGTCTCAAAAGTAAGGCTCCGGACTTCATTATCACAATGGGGTCCAGCAGCCTTCTCTCTGTATTCCCGGGTTTGGGATCTGGGTGGGCGGGGCTCCACTCACACCTCTCCGTGCCGCGCAGAGTGGAGGAGGCGGGGCAGGGCGGGTGAGCCAATGCTAGAAGTCCTGGTGCCGAGTCGCCAGCGAGCAGGCCAATGGGACTCAGGGGTGTGGCCAGGGCCTTCTGGCCCCAGCGTTTATAGCAACTGTGTTGCGGCTCTTTACAACCCGCCCTGTGCGCCTGTGACCTCGGGGTCGGTGCTGGGTCGCCTGCCCGGGACCGCGGCTCTCGGCACAAAGCTGCCGGACCCCCGCCGCCCTCGCCGCGCTCTCGCGTCATGGAGGCGGTGGCCGTCCCCCGGCGCGCAGGCCCCGCTTTCCCGGCCGCCGCCCTGGTCACCGAGAGCGCCCGGCCGCTGGCCGACGGGCTCATCAAGTCGCCCAAGCCCCTGATGAAGAAGCATGCGGTGAAGCGGCATCATCACAAGCACAACCTGCGGCACCGCTACGAGTTCCTGGAGACCCTGGGCAAGGGCACCTACGGGAAGGTGAAGAAGGCTCGGGAGAGAGCCGGGCTCCTGGTGAGTGCCTCCGGCGTGCAGGGCCCGGGCGTCGGAGGAGCTGCCCGCGCCGGCGTCGCCAGCCAGTGGCGGCCGGGAGAGCGCATTTTAGATGCGTCTGTCCAGAATTTTAGGGACTGTGGTCAAGGACCAGAGAACCTCAGCAGCGCTAGATGCCTGTCCTTTTAGAAGATGGGGCTTAAGTTCAATTTTGATTGGAGCAGTCTTCAGTGGGTGGAATGGGAGGAGGAAGTAGAAGGCCCCAGATCTTAGCAAGACTTTATAGTGTGTGTGGTTGAGTAGACGGATGACGTGTGGTGTGGAGATCCTTAGCTCTATACAATTGGGTCCTAAACCCTGGGACCGAATCAAAATTTCATTGTGATGGGTTTTTGATTCTGGGAGTGTAAAAACAGGCTCTGCTGCCAAATCCACTGTGTCTGAAGATGCCTTTGGGCGGGAGGCCTCTTGGGGAACTTGTCCTGTTGATATAATGTCTTCGTAATAGTCATAGTCATCTGTGACTTTGAGCAATTTCCTTCATCTCTGGATTCTGTTTCCCCTTCTGCAAAAGTGGAGAAAACACAGCCTGTCTCACAAGCTGCGAGGAAGAGTGAACAAGATACAAATGTGAACTTCGTGGGCCTTGGGCCTGAAAGGATAGCATATTTACCAAAAGTTAAACATGGTGGTTCTCACACTGCAGTTTGATAGGTGCTTGTTAAAATCTCAGGTTCACACCCAGTTGCGGGGTGTGGGGGGTGTTTTGTCTCCCCCGAAAGCCTGTAATTCACATTTTAACAAGCCTTTCAGAGCAGGTGGTTTAGGGATTATATTTTGCCAGATCCAGTGAATACTTGTTGTGAGGGGTGTGTGTGTGTCCATAGTTTGCCCTATTGACTATGGCAGTTGTCCCCTCCCCTGATTGTTTGCTTTTGCAGCCAGTAGCTGGTTTGAAATTCAAGAAGTCATTTCATTGGTGAAGGAAAGTGGATGTTGGAGAAAGGAGTGGATTATGGCCCCATCAATAGGACCAAGTATGTTTTTCCTGCTAATGCCTGGCATAGTCCCCAGTTGCCTCCTGCCAGGTTACAGCTATTGGGCAATCATGTACTTCCTGGCTTTCCTTTCTTTCTCTTTCTATAAAGTGCCAGGGCCCCAAAGGCTTCAGGCTTGAGACTGCTGGGCCCAGGCTTTGTCAAGGGCTTAGCTGGAAAATACTTGCTTGTGGTTTGGGTCCTCTTGTTGGGAAGATTGGGTTGAAGGAACTGGGTGGCTGATAAACCAAGATCAAAGTTCAAAGATCCCATCAAGCTTTTGAGAGGTTACTGTGGGGTGAGAGAGAGAGAGAGAGAGAGAGAGAGAGAGAGAGAGATCGAGATCATTTGAAGTGAAACTTTTGGTTTTTAGACCACAGTGGCTCTAGGTAAGGATTCCAAGTCTTCTTACATTAGAACAGAGAGAATTCAGAAGGAACTCCCAGGCTCATGTCTCTTGCGTGGGTAAGGAGCCAAGATCAGTAGGCAGGAGCCTGCACCGAATCTCTCAGACACAGACCGCCCAAGAGAAATTGCTCAGGGTCCCTTTGGAGAGCAGCTCCCTGCTGTGCCAATGATGTCTCAATTCTGGAGCCTTGTTCTCTTCCCCACCCCCCATCCCTACATCTTGACTGTTTTCCCGAAAGAGAGACTTGATGCCTTACATACTTTAGCAGGGGGAAAGGGACATGGAGCTGTCCCAGTCTTCCCACAGATGAACTAAGATTGTTGGTGGGAGTTCCAGTCATAGGACAGCCTGCTAGGGAACATCCATTTGCAATTGCTCTCCATGTTCTAGCACTTTCTACTCCTAACCTGTGGAGATGGCTAAGCAGGGGCCAGATGGGATTATCTGCAGGGAGGGACAGGTAGGGGGACTAATGGCTGCCCCAGGAGGGAGTCAGAGGAAAGACAAATATTTGCTCTGGATCTTGAACACATTCCTGGTGTCCAAATGACATTTCCTCTTGCAAGTCTCCCAGCTCCCCTGACTATTCCCTCCCCCTAAAGAGAAAAACACATGCTGGGGTCTCTGGAAAGATGGAGTCCACCAAAGCCCTTGACCTGATCTACATGGATGTCCTGCCTCTGAGAGATACTGTGAGGGGAGGTGGGTATTCCAATGGGTAGTTCTGTGAGGTGGGACTCTTTCTGCTTCTTTAATATTTTGACTTGCTTAGTGAGCTTTCAGAATGTTTGAAAATGACCAAGTTGTTCCACTTCCTTCATTGCTAGATGGAACTAAGGCTCTGAGAGAAAGGAAGTAACTTGTCTTCTGGCTGGTTAATGGCAAGCCTGCAGTACAGGCTCCAGACTTGTCTACCTTAGGCCTTGGATGACCAAGTGCTGAATCTTGGTCTGGAAACTGGCTTTGAGATGAGCCTGGGCTTGCCTGCCAGTGCTTTGTCATCCCAACAGCTAGCTCCGGCTGCATTCCCAGTGCTCCAGGCAGTGCTTAGAGTGGGAGAAGTCACTGGAACCCCTCCTCGCATGGCTGTATTGAAGGATCCTAGGTGAGAGAACTATACTGTATTCTTGCAAAGGGTCAAATCATGGTACCCATTGTTCACTGGCTGTGTGACCTCTGTGTACCTCAGTGTCCTCATCTGTAGAGTGGAGATTATAATAATTCCTATATCATGAGTTTCTCCTAGGATTAAATGAGAAAAGACCTATAAAGTGCTTAACACAGTATCTAACACACATGGTGTTACTGTCCTAGCAAGGGTGTCTTGACCTGTGAACCCCTCTATCCTAGGCGTATCCTGCCAAAATAGAGTGTAAATTGTGCTCAGCCATCCTTGAGTTGAACCACTGTGATCTCTGCTCCCTTTAGCCAACTTCAGAAAGGGGCTCCTGACTGGCCAACTACCAAAGGCTTATTAGGCAAGATGCTGCCCTCCTAGCTCCTCCCGCACCTGCCTGCTCAGCAGCAGGGAGGGAGGCTGCAGGTGGCTCTTGTCCTTGGGCTCCAGCCAAATCACACAAAAGGACTGGGCAGGGAAGCTCCTTGCCCAAGAACCTGGCAGAGTGGGCTAGAAGAAGGCAGGGAGGAGGTGGCTTGGGTTCCCCACAGAGCCCATTTCTAATCCCAACCTAGTCCTTGGTAGAATGGTAAGTCACATTGAGGTTCATCCCCACTCACCATCCTTCCTCACCATCCTCATGTGAGGTTCTTTCCTGCTTCCCAAACAGCAGCTGCTCCCTGAAAGGCCAGAGAAGAGTCAAGGATCTTGGCTCCAATTTGGGGCCATGGCTGTGACCAGAGATGTCCCACTTAAATCATCTCTCCCAGTACCTAGAACCAGCATCTCTGGATCCTGCTCCTCTTTCTCTTCACCCCTACCTCCCATTTCCTTCTAAGACCTTTGACCACCTTCTCTTGAATGCAGATTTCTGATCAGAGCTTAGGCCATATTTACCAATGGAACCTTAGCACCACTTCTTCAGAGTGTTGGCAAAAGAGTGGGGGTGTCTGTATATCTGTAAGTAGGATGGGGTGGCACATACAATGTGGCCCAGGGCAAAACATGGGGCATCCCAACTTCTCCAGAGGTGGGAGGCAGGCCTGGGAACCTCCAAGGAACTTTTTTCTTCTGAGATGCTAGCTTCTCCTCCATCGTAGGTCCTGTCTTGTGCATTGAAGAGGCTTGGAAGAGTCAGTGTGTCTTTCTGGACTTGTTCACTGCTTTCAAAACAGGATAGGGAATTAGCCTCGCTTGCTGCCTTTCGAACTCGCAGAGCTTCAGGAACAAGAAAACACTAGGGTGGTTTGAGCAAGAATTATGCTCTGGCAGTTAACATGGCTAAGCATGGTGGCCTTGCAACAGTCCTTGACTGCCACCTTCTTGACAGCAGTGACCCCTTTCTGAAGAAGCACCACATAGGATGCCCAAATGTGGAAGGGAACTTCGAAATCCATCCTGATGTGAGGTTCTTTCTGCCTGGAACTTTCTTGTTGCCCTTTCCTAGCCCACCTCATCCATCTTCCAGACCTGAAACAGTTCTTTCCCAAGGGTGATTCCCCCGTTCTTCCAGGCAAAGAAAGCCCTGTGAAGTGCTCCTGGAACACCTGGCAATCAAGGACTGCGGCTGCCACATTTCTGACACTGGGAAGGAGCCTTCCCAGTAGACTTGGGGCATTGAAATAGGAACGCTCCAAATTTTGTCCAAATTCCTAGTACCTAGCATAGTTAGGCACAAAGTAAACATTTGCTAGACATTTGGAGAATAGATGTACATTGATTTTTTTTTTCCAGATGAGGACATTAAAATTAGGCAGGGCAGCTAACCAGATCATCCTACTTACACACCTTGTGTTGCATGACTTGAGAGAGGCAAGTGTGGATCAGCTACCTGGGTTCACAGGGCCTGCTCAACTGGCCAGGAGTTTACATTTTCAGATTTATCCCATTTCAGAGTATGGTGGCCATATAATAAATTGACTAAATGTGGGAAATTTGCAGAGGAAAGGAGACAGTATTGACAGTATTAATAATTGTATCAAAATAAACCAGGGCCCTGGCATGTGGCCACCCTCCCTCTTCGCACCTATCTGCAGGTGATATCCTCTTCCTTGGCTTTAATTGCCCTGTTTTTATTCTAGAGTATGGTTGCCAGTTACCTTACAGGTGAGAACAAAGGTCAGTAGAAATTACTTTTTGTAACTGAGGTAGATTCTATTTAGGCCTGGGTGGAGTAGGGAGAAAATCTTGTCTGATCCCTGAGTCCTTCAGGTAAAGATCACTCAGGGATTTAACCAATAAATATTTGTAACGTGCACTCATTAGTAAACAGGAATTAAAGACTTTCTGCACACCAAGCCCTTTCTAGGTTCAGTGGTGCCTTATCTAATTTACTTTGACAGACTAGTGGTTGGGAAAGTTTGGGAAGAGTGGCCCAACCCCACAGACTTAGTATAAATCAGGTCTTCTTCGTCTGTCCTTCTTGAGGACTGATGGAGGGCTGATAGCTTGGTAGGTTTCCTTCCTGGGAAGTGCTGCACACTTCTGAGGGCCTAATACAGACAACTGGGGATTCCTCAGCCTTCCTTTCCCTATTAGTTCAGAGTCTTATCTTGTAGGAGAATGGAACTGGGGGACAAAAGAATTTTAGGCCTTTCAGGGTTAAAAGAGATGGACCTGGACTTGTGTATCCGCTAGCCATACCAAAGACTCCTGCACCCAGAAAATCCCTTTTTGAGCCTCATTTCTTTTTTTTTTTTTAATATTTTATTTTTATTGTTTTTTTTTAAAATTTTATGTGTATGAGTGTACTGCCTGCATGTATGTGAGTGCACCGTGTCATGCAATGCCTTGAAGGTCAGAAGAGGGCTTCGGATTCCCCTGGAACTGGAATTAAGGATGGTTCATGGCCGCCATGTGGGTGCTGGGAATCGAACCCAGGTCCTCTGCAAGAGCAGTCAGTGCTCTTAACCACTGAGCCATCTCTCCAGCCCCGAGCCTCATTTCTTTTACACCTTACTGTCTTCAGAGCTCTGTCCCTAAGCCAGTGAGGCCATCTCACTATCGTGTGTACATAATTGTGCGTCTCACACATGCCTAGTCTTTGCATGGATGCATTTTCAGCTCAGGTATTTTAGTTATCTAGACAGAAATGTATGGTTACATATGATCATTTCTACTACCTATTAATATATATTTTTTACTGACCTTTGTCACTGAAGGTCTTCACAGCCCTCTTACTCATTGTCTGATTTTTTAAGCAGAGACTTACAGGAAAAAGAAGTAGGCCGTAAAAATCTCCCCTTCAGAGTGAGCAAAGGAGTATGGAGAAGAGGTGTATGAGAGTGCTGCTGGATTGAATGTAGACATTTGGAGCATTTAGGGTCTGTTCTGCTCCCTTGCCCACTGCCCAATTCCAAGCCCACAGTTTTCTTTTGCTTTTTTTTTTTTTTTTTTTTTTTTTTCTTTCCTAACTCATTAGTGAGAGATGAGAAAGGGTTAGAGCAGGTGTTGGGGCAGCCAAGTCCCCACATCTGCAGCTTCCCTGCTTTGGGCCTCTCAGGGAGGAGGCTCCATAGTGACCATCTCTCCCTTTGTTCTCCCTGCCCTTCTCTGAGAGAGCTGAGTGGGGCCTGCCTGCCCCCTTTCAGCAGAACAGTTCAGGGCAGGATGGGGTTGAGGGCACACCATCCCCCGGCCCGTTGCCAGGGTGACCCAGGCTGTGGGTATTGTGAGCAGCTCCTCTGACAGGATTAGGGCTATTCCACATTCTTGTCAGATGGGGAGCCCCGGCTAGCAGAGCCCAAGAGCAGAAGCCCTAGAGCAGAAGCCATTGTCTACTGGAGGTGTGGGGGGAGGAGGGCTGTGAAAGGATGGATTAGAGACCCTGCCCCTGGAGCTGGGGTTTCCTTTCTGTCTTTTGAATCTGGAGGGGGAGGCCAGCCCTCCTGGGAAACTGAATGAGGAGCTGTTTATCTCAGTCTGAGTCTTCATATTTCTCATTACTTGCCTATCTCCCTTGAAGAGGAAGTCCTGTGTTTACCATTCTATTGGTGTTTTGGCTAGGCCTTGCCAGGAACTGACTGGTCTGGGACACCCAACACCCACCCAGCCTCTGAGGGCCCCTGGCATTTGTACAGCTCATTTCACAGGCTCAGAGCAGGAAAGCCCCTCAGACAGCTCAGTTCAATCTGTTTATTTTACAGAAATGATAGCTGAGGCTCTGCGAGGGGTGGGACTCGCCCATAACCATGAGAACCGAACCCCAGAACCTAGGTACGCTGAATCCTTAGGCAGCATGGTATGGTTTCCCATCAGTCACTGTGGCTGTGCAATGTCCTAGAGCCACTGCTGAGTAAGATGGAGCCAAGAGACTATGGCTCCTGTCTCTTAGAGATGTTTGAACTGCAGCTTCTCCAATTTCTCTGCACTCCACCCTTCCTGAGCCCACCACACTCCAGCTGGAGGGGTTAATCTTTATATAGTATTTCCACCTTCACAGAGGAAGACAGTGAGTCCCAGAGGACTATCTAGTTGTTTATTTGCTTGTTGCTAAGGAAGGGACATGACTTACCTGGACTGACTGTGGAGACTGCTTTTTGATCTTTTTTATTGTGGCAAAATACATATAGTACACAATTTGCCATTTTAGCTACTTTTGCATATAATTAATTGGCGCATTAACTATGTCCAAAAATGTTGTAAATCACCACCACTGTCAAAACCTTTTCATCATCCCAAATAGAAGTCTGTAGCCATTAAAAAGTACCCCCCCAATTCCATTCTTTAGCCCTGTACCCCTGGTAACTTTAGTTCTACCCTCTGTTTATATGTTTGCTTATTTTAGTACCCATAAAAATAGTACTTGTCATTCTGTGGCTGGCTCATTCACTGAGCATATTTTCATGATTCAGCCTGTTGTGTTAGGTGTCAGAATTTCATTATTTTTTTTTAATGACTAATTCCACTGTATAGGCATACCACATTTTGATTATCCATTCATCTGTTGATAGGCATTTATGTTGTTTCCACTTTTTGACTAGAGTCTGGGCGTTGATAGCAAGTTAGAGTACTGGGGCAGAAAAAGGACTAAACTCAGAATCGGGTGGCCAGCTGTGCCAGTGGGAGGCTATGACTTTAGGCAAAGCATTTAGCTCTTTGGTTCCTAGTTTCTTCATCTATGAATGGGGATGAGGATGCTTTCTTTGCTTACTTCCCAGGGTTGTTGCGAGGACCATTTAATGTACTGATGCTGTTCAATGCCTAACATGCGCAGGTCCTATACCTAGTATCCAGGATCCAGTGGCCAGCAAAACACCTCTAGTCCTTGTCTTTGGGTGTACTGTGCATATTTTATTTGCAAATCCAAAAGCACCCAGCCTTTGCAGCCAGATGCAGGCTGTTGTTACCGTCCTTATTCACCTGTAGATCTGAATGAAGCTCCTTTCTGCTACATGGACTGCACTGGACCCAGCTGATAACATTTTCTAGAGAAGATGCTCTCCAACTCCCTGCCACCTACCTGCCCTGGTGAAGGTCTGGATATCTTCTCCTGGTACACTTTGTGGCTTGTACAGAGCACCAGGGCCAGAGCCCACAGAGCATCCTCAGAGATACTTTACCTGCTAGACCTTTCTCCTCAGTCGCCTGCGTTCTGTGTTCACAGGTGGCCATCAAGTCAATCCGCAAAGACAAAATCAAAGATGAGCAAGATCTGCTGCATATACGGAGGGAGATTGAGATCATGTCATCACTCAACCACCCCCACATCATTGCCATCCATGAAGGTAAGGTGGTGGGCCTTTGGAGCTGGGAGCCAGGGATCTCGTGTGTGTAGGAGTCAGAACTGCCAACACAAAGAAGTAAAAATGAGCTGGGTATGGTGGCACATGTCTGTAATCCCAGTCCTGGGAGGCTTGAGATGTGGAGAATGTGAAAGCTAGCCTAAGATGTATAGCAAGACCCTGTCTTTAAATACATGCATGCATACGTGAAGTTCTTTAAAAAAAAAAAAAAAAAAAAGAAAGAAAAAGAAAAAAAAAAGTAAAAATGACAAATGCTGTATTCAAAACCCAGCCCCATGATGCGGAGCAATTCAGCAGTACAGTCCCTGAGTCTTAGTTCCTCTTTTATAAATGGGATAATTCCATCTACATCATAGGGTGATTGCAGAAATCCAACTGTATAATGTCACTGAGTATTCTCTTCGAGGAAGAATTGTAGATCTGTTTGTGTGTTTGTAGCAGTGCTGGGCTCATACCTGGACCCTCACACTTGCTAGGTAAATGATGTAAACTGAACTGCATCCCCATCCCAGACTTCAAGCTTTTTGTTGTTGTTTTTGGGTTTTCCCTAATAGCACTGCTTCCCAATCCTGTGAGATCCTTAGCAACCCAGGGGAGGCTGAAATGCACAGACTGCACCTGTCTCAGGTGTGTGGATGCTGTTCATCCCACATCTGTGAGCCAAGCCTCCTAAAGTCGACCTGTGCCCTGAATCACTCCCCCATGGACTTGCTCTGTCTATTCTTGTCTCTCTTGGCCTCCTGCCCTCTGACATCAGTGCTGACTTGATCATTCTGGCTGCCCTCCTCCCTGTGACCCAGACAACAACGTGATCAAGAGAGCATGTCAAAGGGAGACAGGAGAACAGCCTCCCACATATACCTATCCACTTCAGGCCTTTATGTAACATCAGCTAGATGGAAGTACAGGGACAACAATGGCAGAAGGAGGGAGGCAAGAGAGCCTGAGGCTTTGCCTGTATTTTTTTTTTTTTCTGTCTGAAGATTACTGGTGGGAAGAACAGAGATGGCTTTACTCTTAGGTTTATAGGCAGATGAGGCAGAGCTACTATTATGACCCTGTGGCTTGAGCCTGTCCCATGAGGAGCCCAGACAAGTAGCTGAGAAGGCTAATTGTAGCCCTGTGTACTTCCCTCTGGGAATAGTGGGCAGTCCGAGCTTGGTGATTGGTAGTGTGTACATCTGTGTGTGCATGCGCATGTGTCTCTGTATGTATGAATTCTCTCCACACCCAATCTCTACCTGGGTCTGAGGACTGAGCTGAAGCTCAGGGATTTTGGTGTGTTTTGTTTGTTTTTTCTGCATCTGTTGATTCTGTAGACACAGGGCATCACAATGACTGTGTGTCTGAATGGCTTTCCAAGATTCAGCCTCATCTTGCTGTAGGGTTCTGGTGTTATGGGCTGGGGGAGTGCTGAGACTGATCTCTAACCTAATTGCTCCTCAAGATGTGTCCCTCGCTGGCTCTTGATCCCTAGTTTCACAGCACAAAGGTTGCATGTATACTGAGAACCACATGAATTGAATGCCATTTGGGCACCCCTGGGAGGCTGGGCTACCATGTTTCTCTAGAAAACAGCAGCCTTTCTGTCATTGTAGCTGACATGTGGGAGCTGGGACTTGTCTTAGAATAAGTCTTATCCCTCAGCACCTTCTCAGAGGCTAGACAGCAATAGCTCTGGGGCTGGCCAAACAAACCAAACTCATAATACCCGTTTAACACAAAGATGCAATGTCATGAACGTGCATATTCTGACACACCAGCTAAAGGACCAGTTTGGTGAACCAGTTGTTCCCTATCTTCCCAGAGGGCTGGAGCCAGGACACTGCCTGAAGTGGTGAGAAGGCCCCTCCTACACATGGAGATGGGCCAACTGGGGTGGGCTGACTGCCAAGAAGCCAGCCAATTAATTACCACATATATATTGATTGCTTCTGTGTCTGGAGCCATATGCATAAGGCCCTCACCTGGGTACTCTGATGGGAAGTCAGAGATGGCAGGAGTGATGAATATCTCAGCTCTTACAACAATAAGGTTTCAGAATTCTACATAAAGACATTGTGAATATACCAGTAGGTCCTGTTTTCCAGTGTTTTCTTATATCTAAGACGCTATGCCAACTTGCTCAACCAAACCCAAAGCTGTCATTGATTTCTTACTTATTCCTCACCTCGGTCCTGAGAGGTTGCTTCTCAAATGAGGAAACTAAATGTTGGGTGTGAATCAAAGAGCCTGGTCTTTTATTCCATCAGTGGTGTCTGCCTTCCTGGGAGTTTGCAGAGTCCTCAAAGGCCTAAAGTGAGCCACTGTCCTTGGTCTTGACCTGCTGCTTCTGGAAAGTGCTGAGCGCTTCAAAGGCCCTTCTCTTGCCTTATTCATTGCCCCAAGTCCCCAGTAGCAGACATCATAGAGGGAGGTCTCATTTGGTTTGGGGCCAGGGAAGAGAATGTGGCCCCTAGTGGGAACAGGGTGCTCTGGGAGGGTTTGACGTTCTCACTTTGCCTTGTCTAGTGTTTGAGAACAGCAGCAAGATTGTGATTGTCATGGAGTATGCCAGCCGGGGGGACCTGTATGACTACATCAGCAAGCGGCCGCAGCTGAGCGAGCGTGATGCCAGGCATTTCTTTCGGCAGATTGTTTCTGCCCTCTTCTACTGTCACCAGGTGAACACACACGTGTCCTAATCATATTCTGAGGGGTGGGCCCTGGGGCTCTGAGCCTGGTTTGTTATCAGAAAGGCTTCTGAACTCTCTACTAGGGAATTCTGGTTTTAATCTCTTGCCAGGGATGGGCCTGTGATTTCTTGAACTATACCATTGAAGATAGGTATCCCAGTCTGCCTGTGTGCAACTTTCTAGACTAGGTCCCCTGTCTTGTTCCCTTCCCTGGTGACTTTCTCCTGACTCAACTCCCTCCCTCTTTCAGAATGGGATTGTCCACCGAGATCTCAAACTGGAGAATATCCTTCTAGATGCCAATGGAAATATCAAGGTAAGCCTCACTTCTGGTTTGTAAAAGCTTCCCCACCCTAGTGTTTCTCTAAGTGCTTAATAGGTCCCTGGAGGAGTTAAGTGAAGTCCAACTCTTGTGTTGGTACTGGCAGGGACCTCAGTTGTTATCCATTCCAACACCTTCTTGATGGATGGGGCACCAGATCCTCAAGAGGAAGATCACCCCACTAGTGAATGGTAGAGGCGGGGATAGAACCAAAGTCTCTGACCTACAGTCCAGTGTCCTTTTGATGTTACAAGGCTGACAGGAGTCTCAATCTAGGTTCAGGTTTTTTTATCATAACTTTGGGACTAACAGGGACAGAGCCTCATTGTCGTTGCCTGCATGCGTACATGCTTGCACATGTGCATGCACACACACAATTTAATCTGCTATAGTCAGGAAGCCTTTTGGCTTCTTTCCCACGGGCACCACTTCTTGTTTCCTACAACAATTGGATTCTCATGCTGAGGTAGTTAGATTTAGGTCAGTTGAAAGTTCATAGAGAAGGGATAAACTTGAATCTCAAGGCTGGAAGAGAAGAATGGCAAGAGCAGCTAGCTGAGGTAACAGGCTAGCCTGGCAAGCAACTGGGCGGGGGGCCGGGGGGGCAGTACTCTGACCCACCTCAGAATCTAAATACCAAGGAGAAAGTCTCCTCCATGGCTCCTGACCTGTGTGTCCTAAGGTTTCCTGTACTGAGTCTGTGGCACCCTTATCCTACCAGTTCCTGAAACAGGTGTTGTTTCTTTGATGCTGATGGGAAAGGGAAACCAGAACCAGTAAACAGGCACAAACTGGACAGGCATGCAAGTCTCTGTTGGTACCAGTCATCAACCTTATTATGGGTTCACCTGACAACTGCTTGATAAGATGCCAATAAAGCTATAAACTAAGGAGCCAGAGTTTTATAGCCAGTCCTCTCCACCCTGCACACATGACCCTCTGATGAGATGGAAAGAAGGGGAACGCCAGGTCTCTGACCTCCACCTCTAGCTGAGGATGGGTGGGAAAGGGTCTCTGAGGATCTGGAGGATGATCTTAGGATGTCTCAGGTCCCTAGAGTCAGACAGTTCAGGGAGTCCTTTGAGAAGATTCCATCTCCTAGACTGTGACCAACCCTGACCTTTATTCTGCCCTCTCCTCTGCCTACCATGCCGGCCTATCCCAGGTTCCTGCCCAGGTGTGGGCAGAGATGAGCCCTTTGTTGGGAAGGGCAGCTAAGGTTTCACATAGTTAATGGGTCAGGGGCCTTACTTATCTATAAGGTTCTCAGGGCACTGTTTTCCAGGACCTGAACTATGAGATACGGAGTCGGGACCCCCTGTCCCTCTGCCAGGACCTGGCCTTCCTCAGGATTTGGAGAGGGGATAGATGGCCAAGAGCTGTGGAATAACCCAACCTTTGACATGACCCATGTCCGTTTCTGTTCCAATCCTATAGATTGCTGATTTTGGCCTTTCCAATCTATACCACCAAGGCAAGTTCCTGCAGACATTCTGTGGGAGTCCCCTCTATGCCTCACCCGAGATCGTCAATGGGAAGCCCTATGTGGGCCCAGAGGTAAGAGGCCACCTTGGGCCAGAATCACTGAGTCCAGGTCCTGGAGGATAGATGGGCTGGTTTGCTGGTTACTTCCTTTTACAGAGCACAAAACTCAAGCCCCTAAAAGGCAGTGGCTTGCCAAACCTCAGAGGCAGAAGTGGAAAAACTGGCATAGACTTGAGGTCTCCTGGTACCCTGTCTCATCCTTGGCCTCTGGTTCTCATCACCTTCTGACACTCAGTCCAGCCACCCTACCTTGACCCAGAAGGATAGCGTGGTCACTGTTCCTGTGTCTGAGGCTGTCCCTCTCAGGGGAAGTAACTGGCAGTATATTTCCCTATTAGCCCCAAACCCTCTGCTGCATCCCTCACTTCAAGGGGGATGGTCACAAGAAGGGGCATTTCGGATATGACCTTTGGGTTTTCCAGTATGTACCCTTACCTTTGTGTTGGAGGTAAAGCTGGCAGCCCTTCAGTCTGCAGCACATGCAGTCCTTGCTGAGCTGTTTCTCTACCCCCCTCCCTCAGGTGGACAGCTGGTCCCTGGGTGTCCTCCTGTACATCCTGGTGCATGGCACCATGCCCTTTGATGGGCAGGATCATAAGACTCTGGTGAAGCAGATCAGCAGTGGGGCTTACCGTGAGCCACCCAAGCCCTCTGGTGAGTGAGCACTGTGGCCAGGCCAGCAGCGAGGGAGGCATTGGTACTGTCATTGATTCCTGAGTCAGCAATTAGACAGTGGTAATACAGATAGATGGCAGCAGTCTGTTGTGACTCAGGGCAAGTTAGGATATACTCCACTATTCTCCCCAGCGTCTGAGACTGCTGAGAAAGAGGGAAGCTCTTCCTTATGAGCATGCTTTGGAAGTGCTCTTGAAGGTCCACCATAATCCTCTGCTATAGTATTATTTCTTTTTCTTACTTTATTTTATGTGTATGAGTGTATTGCCTGCATGTGTATGTAAGTGCACCTATGTCATGCGATGCCCATGGAGGTGCCCCTGGACGTCAGAAGAGGGCCTTGAATTCCTTTGGAATTTGAGTTATGGACAATTGTTAGCCACCATATGGGTGCTGGGAACTGAACCCGGGTCCCCTGCAAGGGCAGCCAGTGCTCTTAACTGCTGAGCCATCTCTTCAGCTCCCATAGTTGTATCTTTTCTTACTGCCTTTTTCCTCATTCTTAGAAATCTGGCCTTTCACATATGATGTAGAGGGCAGGAAAATATGTGTGAGAGCCTTGCTTTACCCCTAAGCACAGTCCCTATCTTCAGAGAATTGAATTTCAGTGGAGAGAGGAAAATACACCCTAACATGCAAGTGAGGACCCATGAAGAGTTTACGGACAGAGGCAGGTAGTAGAATCTGTCTGGGGAGCAGGCCTGAACATGTTTGGAGCCTGAGGAAAGAATGGGCAGATCTGACCCAGAAACCTGTGTAGCGCCAGAACTCAGATGAGGCCCGCCTGTGACTGAGGACCTTGGGGATGCCTCCTATTCATATAACTACCAAACTGAAGTCCTTACCTTTGTTCTTCCAGATGCTTGTGGCCTGATCCGGTGGCTGTTAATGGTGAACCCCACCCGTCGGGCCACACTGGAAGATGTAGCCAGTCACTGGTGGGTCAACTGGGGCTACACCACCCGTGTTGGAGAAAAGGAGAGTCTTCGTGAGGGTGGGCACCCTGGGAGCGATTCTGGCCGGGCCTCCATGGCTGACTGGCTGCGCCGCTCCTCCCGCCCCCTTCTGGAGAATGGGGCCAAGGTGTGCAGCTTCTTCAAGCAGCATGCGACTGGAGGTGGAAGCACTGGGCCTGGGCTAGAGCGCCAGCATTCACTCAAGAAGTCCCGTAAAGAGAATGACATGGCTCAGACTCTGCAGGGTGACCCACCTGAGGATACCTCCCCCCGCTCTGGCAAGAGCAGCCTCAAGCTGCCAAAAGGCATTCTCAAGAAAAAAGCCTCTACCTCCTCAGGGATGGTACAGGAGGACCCTCAGGAACTCAGCCCAGTGCCTGATACAACACAGCAGCCTGCACCCCTGCTTCCCAGGAAGGGCATCCTCAAGAAGTCTCGGCAGCGTGAATCTGGCTACTATTCTTCTCCAGAGCCCAGCGAATCTGGGGAACTCTTGGACACTGGGGACGTGTTTGTGGGTGGGGACCCCATGGAACAGAAATGTCCGCAAGCTTCAGGGGCACTTCTCCATCGCAAGGGTATTCTCAAACTCAATGGCAAGTTCTCGCACACAGCCTTGGAGTGCACGACTCCTAGCACCTTCGGCTCCCTGGACCAACTGGCCTCCCCTCACCCTGCAGCCCAGGCCAGCCGCCCCTCAGGGGCTGTGAGTGAGGAAAGCATCCTGTCTTCTGAGTCCTTTGACCAGCTGGACTTGCCGGAGCGACTCCCTGAGACCCCACTGAGGGGTTGTGTATCTGTGGACAACCTCAGGAAGCTGGAGCAGCCTCCCTCAGAAGGCCTGATGCGCTGGCGGCAGGACCCCCTAGGGGATAGCTGCTTTTCCCTGACAGACTGCCAGGAGGTGACAGCAGCCTACCGCCAAGCACTAGGAATCTGCTCAAAACTCAGCTGAGGGTGAAAGGCAGTGCCCCAGTGTGGGGTGGGCTCTGAGATGTTCCTGAGGGGAGAGGACCTCCTCCCCTGTCTCCCAAGACCAGCATCCCAGCCCAGAAGTTGAGAGGGCTTGCAGAGGAACCCTAGGCAGGGTACCTGGGGAAGTGGGTGAATGAAATGCATCAAGGGCTAAATGTCTTCAGGCCTATTGAACCGGAAAGATGAGGAGGGGAAGAGGGGAAGAGTAGAGATGTGGAAGGGAACAGGAAGGGCTCAAGGAGGTTATTGTGGTAGCATGGCAGAGACCTGGAAAGAGCCCTCCATCAGTGTCTACCTCCTTCATGCCATGAGTGTTTCGCATGGTATATTTCCCCGTTCGTTCCCCACCAACTTGGGGGTACATCTTCACACAAGTTCTCACCAACCACCTGATGCACCTGGGGGTAATCTGGAGTAACCTAGCCCCCTTATTTAAGAGGAAACAGCTTCTGTTTCCTCAAAGGTTCTGTCCTCTTTCCCAGGAATGAGCCACCCAGAATCAGTCGCTGCTATGGGTCTAAAAGACTTGAAAAGGCTTAGGCCACTATGTGACTTCATCTCAAGGGGCCCAAATTTTTGGACCACGAAGATTTGAACTTCTGCCTTGAAGCTGCTTCTGATGTCTCGACTATGGATGTGTCTTTCTCAGGCTGGCAGGACCATAGAATGTGCTTATTTTTATGTTCTCAATTCTGTTTTTTTTTTTTTTTTTTAAGTGAATCTTGCTGCTTTCAGTAACGTGAATGCTGCGTTCTGGTGAAAAATACTGAGCCATCGAAGTTTCATGTGTGGAGGTGTTTTCCTCTAATCAGAGGAAAGGGGCCTTTTTTTTTTTTTTTTTTGAGACAGGGTCTCCCTGTAGCCCCAGCTGGCTGTACAGTTTACATTCCCACCAGTGATAGATCAGGGCTCCTTTGTCTCTATATTCTCACCAGTATTTGTTCTCATTTGTGTTCTCGATCCCCATTCTTACTGGGGTGAGACAGAGATTAAGATAGTTTTAATTTGCATTTCCTCTAAGAACTGCAAAATTTAAATGCCAAAAAAGTAAAAAATGAAATGAAACCCCAAACTCAGTCAATAAATAGGCTAATGAAATAAACAGATAGTTCTCAAAAGAAGACCCAGCTAAGGGGTCTTTTTTAAACCCAAGTCCAGAGTGCTATCTGGAGGTGGGTCTCTAGTCCCTTCACTATACATCCCAATGCTATATGCCTTCCCTCATCTGTGGCCAAAAGGAATCACTCCATTAAAACCAGAATGGGGCTGAAGAGATGACTCAGTGGTTAAGAGCACTGGTTTGCTCTTTCAGAGAACCTGGGTTCAGTTCCCAGCACCCACATGGCGGCTAATACCCACTCTTAACTCCAATTCCAGGGGATCCACTGCACTCTGGCTCTTCAGGTACCAGGCACACATGTGGTGTACTTACATTCATGCAGGCAAAGAACTCATATACAAAGTAAAAATAAAAAGCAAAACAGACTGCTATGCTACTTGTTCTCTTTGGGGACCTGGGTGCAGGTCTTTGAGCCTTCTTACGTTTTCCCTAGGGCTGCCAGGGGTGAGACACTGGAGGGAACTGTTTAGACAGGACAAAGGAGTGGTAAGAATGCTGCTTAGCTGGGCATGGGTCACATTGTAGATCCCAACACTTGGAAGGCAGAGACAGGCAGATCTCTGTGAGATGGAAGCCAGCCTGGTCTACATAGCAAGTTCCTGGCCAGCAGGGACTACAGGGAGACCCTGCCTTTAAAAAAAAAAAAAAAAAAAAAAAAATGCTGCTTAACATGTACTCTCAATCCCCAGCACTTCAGAAGAATGAAATAAAACTAAGACCTGGCCCCAAGGCACCAGGCCATCTGCAACAGCAGTTTGGGCCTGACCCTGTTAAGCAGTCTGAAGAAACACCCTGGCCCAGCAGGTTGTTCTTCACCCTCCTGGTAGTCTAGGATGAACTAGGTCTGGCTGATTGTTCTTCTCCAGCCCAACTCTGCTCCCCTCCCCCATGGGCCTGCCCCCTGCTGCTGGAAGACACCCCCACAGCCTTTATTCTCTAAAGAAAAACGCTTTCCTCTAGTGCTAGACAGCTTCTCCCTCCGCCCCTACTCCTGACTCTTGAAGGAAGTAAAGAATGCCTGGAATGTCTACCCTCCCTGGCCAGCCCTTTAGCCCCCCTACAGAGCAGTCCCTGCTGCCAGCTCCGTTGAAAAACTGCCCTTCTCCCAGGACTGGATGAAAAGGGAGAACGGAGAACAAAAGTACGGGCGAGCAGCTGGCTAGTATGAGCAGCAGTTGGCTAGGTCTGTCTCAAAGCTGGCTCCTTCCTCATCCTCACCCTTGACTGGCTCTGGTATTCTCCCCTAAAATCTCCAGTTCCCCAGCTCTACTGCCCACCTGTCTTCCCAGCAATTGGCACCTGCCAGATGAAGAATGGAGCCTCCCTCACTGTACCTGAAGAGCTAGAAAAGTCAGAGTCGGGAAGAGACAGGAGGCCTAGGCCACTGTGGGGTTAAAGACAGGAAAGTACATAAATTGCTTTGGTGACAGCAGATGTGCCTGTGGTCCCAGAACTGGGCTAGACTTGGGTAAACTTCAGGAAAAAAACAGACTGGGCTGTCACCCTTAAGAAGGAGATACCCTGCGGTAGAAGTATGCAGTGCTCCTTCAACTGCAAAAAGCCCTGAGAGTGCTGAAGCACAACAGTGCCTGGTGTGCAGTGCAAACAGGGCCCGAGCCTTGGGTTGCAAGCAGGCTGTGGGAGGGGAGCATGTGCAGGGAGCACAAAAGAATTAAACCCAATGAAATTGTTCAGCTAATACCAATACCGAGGGCAAGTTCAGATGAAGGAAAGAAGAAATACATCCTAGAAGACAAAAGAGCTCGCTCTATCATCTCATCTTTCAATTTATGGTGTTGGGGATCAAACTCAGGGTCTTGCTAGGCAAATGCTGTGCCACTGAGCTGCAAACTGCAACTCTTCTTTGAGACAGTCTCACTGTGACTGGTGATTCTCCTGCTATCGCGTGCTGAAGTTCCAGGCTTGCACCACTGCTCATGCATCCGGCACTTTGTGGTTAGTGCCTGGTTTCATGCTCCCAATAGCTTTGTTTTATCCTTAAGAGTTTCATTCTTATTTTGTAGAAGAAACAGAGACTCAAAAACTTTTAAGTAATTTTCATTGCTGGCTAGTGGGAACACAAACCTCACACTTATGTCTGTGGGAAGCCAAATCTTTGGGGTCAGGAAGACTCATTTGACCTGGATTGGGTGAAAGAATAGAAGTGAACAGAACAACAAACACTTGTTGAGTATCTGTTACTTGCCAGGCCCTTGGCCAGGCACAGGATGATAGCACTCTTCTTTCTTGGAAGTCCCCTCTCCTGGTCTCCACAGGGCTAAGAAGAAAATGAGAAAGGAGGGGTATGGTGAGCAAGGGGGTCAGGAAGATGAGGCTGAGGATAGACCAAGGAAAGAGGGGTATGCCTAATGGAAAATCAAGGAATTGGGTGAAGGCCTGAGGGGACATAGCACCTCACTGTCTTAGTAGGTAATGAGCCCAATAGGCTTCCAGGAAGGCAGGGCTCAGTCTTCCTGTGGTTTGTATTAATTTCCTCTCTAGTAAGCAGGATGAGGGAGTGGACATAGGGAAGCCCCCAAAAGAAATTGACTTGAGCTGTGGATTCTGTTTACACAGCCCTTCCCTTTACCTCACCTGCCAGGACACTTCATACCAAAAACATTCCAGAAAGCAGGCTCAGAAGGGAAGAAGCTGGCCCTGGGGGAGAAGCTGGAGCTGCAGGAATATTTAGTGACACATCAGCGCTTCTGGAATGTGAACAACCCAGACAGAAACAGGGGAGGCAGCTCTGGGAGATAGGAAGGCTTTCTGAATGTTCCCTATTCTCCATCCTTTCCTGAGGCACAGACAGGACCACAATGTCCTTGAGTGGACACCCCCTCACAGACTAGTGCCAAGGGAGGGAAACTCCCATGACACACTGGTCTGGTTCCCTGGCCCAAGATCAATATGGCCCTTCATTCTCCCTCTGCTCCCATCCAACCAGTTGCCTTGGGCCCTAAGAGGGAGAAAGTAGGAGAAACAGTGGGAGGCAGATGTGTATGGAAGCAGCAGTTGCCACTCCCAAGAGCATGTGTGGACTTTTTTTGAGACAGAGTCTCACTATGTAGCCCTGGATGACCTGGAACTCACTATGTAGACCCAGTTGGCTTTGAACTCATAGAGATCTCCCTGTCTCTGCCTCCCCAGTGCTGAGATTAAAGGAATATAACTCCACACCCAGCTTTATGGGAGTCAGATTCTGTACCCTGACTGATAGCCAGTGTGTTGAGAAATAGGTTGAGTGGCCAGAGTATTTTTAAAGAAGAAAGGGGTAAGGGTGGGAGCCACATAATAGACAGGCTGGTTTTCTGGAAAAGAGGATTGGTGGCAAGCAGGAACCGGGACAAGGCCAATGGGCTGAGTTTCTGAATGCAAGATTTATCTTGATAATCAATCTCTTATACAATGTGTACCATTCTTTCACTCATTCAATCTGTTACTAAATAGTTATTGGGGCTGGGGCTATAGCTCAGTCATAGAATGCTTGCCTGGCATGGGCAGGGTCGTGGGTTCCTCTAAGTTCTAAAAACATTTTTTTTAATTTACTAAGGGCCTGCCGTGTACACTGTAGAGGCTGTAAGTATACATTGTGCATTGTTTTTGTTTTTGTTTCTGAGACAGTAGCTCACTCTGTAGCCCAGGCTGGCCTGGAACTCAGAGCAGTCCCCTACCATGCCCAGCTTTGGAGATAGATTTGTAAACAAAACTGACAACAATCCATACCCTCATGGAAGCAAGTTCCAGAATAACAGGTGAAACTGGAGCAAAGTGAATGAGAGACTAGCAGAGGCGTCAGAAGTCACAGGAGGAAAAGTAGAGCCTTGTGGGCCATCTTAGGCTGTGGCTTTTAATCTGGGTGAAATAGGAAGTCAATGGGAGGTGTTGAGCAAAAGAGTGAAACGATTTAACAGCTTTTTCTTTTAAAGAGTCTATCACATGGGCAAGATAGCTCAGCAGGTAAAGGCACTTGCTGCCAAGCCTGGCTGCCTGAGTGGGATCCCCAGAACCTATATGGTAGAAAGAGAGAATCAACTCCCACAAGTTGTTTACTGATCCACTGATCTCCATACATGTGCTATAGCACACACTCTCTCTCATATATATATATATATATATATATATATAACTAAAAAGAGTCTCTCTGGTGGCTAGCTGAGGACAGCAGTGGCAGGTTCAATGGGGACCTAGTAGGGGTCCAGTTCTGGCAAGAGATGGTGAAGCTTGGACTAGAGTTGCATGACTACAGAAATGAGAAGTAAAAAATAAAGAAATGTGAAGCAGTCAGATTTGGGGGCATATTTTGAAGGAGGCACCCCATAAGCTTAACTGAGGGATTAAGGGATAGCATGCTGGGTATGAAAGACAGAACAGAACCAAGAATAACCTGAGTTCGAGGAGAGAAGCTGGAAGGACAGGCTATCTGTTAGCTTGGGCTGGGAAGGCTTGCAGGTGAAGGATGGGGTAAGCTGGCTGGGAGCACTTAGACCTGTCAGTACGAAGGGAGGAAAGCACACTGCCATCCAATGCCCCATGCTAAGGCTCTGGGACTGTATTAACCAGAAAGGCAGATCTTCCTAAAGTCATCAGCTGCTCACAAAGCTAGTCTGATAGGATTCTGGGGGACAGACAGTACCCGGTGGAGGACACAGGTGTGTGAGGTTGGCATCTGCTTTCTCCTGATAAACTTGGAAAGGCTTTGAGGGATGGGAGGAGAAGGTTGGGAGAAAT